TGTGTGTGTGTGTGTGTATGTGTGAGTACTCACCTAGTTGTACTCACCTAGTTGTGCTTGCGGGGGTTGAGCTCTGGCTCTTTGGTCCCGCCTCTCAACCGTCAATCAACAGGTGTACAGGTTCCTGAGCCTATTGGGCTCTATCATATCTACACTTGAAACTGTGTATGGAGTCAGCCTCCACCACATTGCTTCCTAATGCATTCCATTTGTCAACCACTCTGACACTAAAAAAGTTCTTTCTAATATCTCTGTGGCTCATTTGGGCACTCAGTTTCCACCTGTGTCCCCTAGTGCGTGTGCCCCTTTTGTTAAATAGCCTGTCTTTATCAACCCTGTAGATTCCCTTGAGAATCTTGAATGTGGTGATCATGTCCCCCCTAACTCTTCTGTCTTCCAACGAAGTGAGGTTCAATTCCCGTAGTCTCTCCTCGTAGCTCATACCTCACAGCTCGGGTACTAGTCTGGTGGGAAACCTTTGAACCTTTTCCAGTTTAGTCTTATGCTTGACTAGATATGGACTCCATGCTGGAGCCGCATACTCCAGGATTGGTCTGACATATATGGTATATAATGTTCTGAAAGATTCCTTACACAAGTTTCTAAAGGCCGTTCTTATGTTAGCCAACCTGGCATATGCTGCTGATGTTATCCTCTTGATATGAGCTTCAGGGGACAGGTCTGGCGTGATATCAACTCCCAGGTCTTTCTCTCTCTCTGACTCTTGAAGTATTTCATCTCCCAAGTGATACCTTGTATCTGGTCTCCTGCTTCCTACCCCTATCTTCATTACATTACATTTGCTTGGTTAAACTCTAACATCCATTTGTTCGACCATTCCTGCAGCTTGTCCAGGTCTTCTTGAAGCCTCAAGCTGTCCTCCTCTGTCTTAATCCTTCTCTTAATCTTCTAATCCTTCCCGAATGAGTGTGTGTGTGAGAGTGTGTGTATGTGTTTTTGTGTATCTTTATGCATTCGTGTGTGTAAGAAACGGTAGAAATTAAAAGCAAAAATCATAAAATCTTGAATTATATTGAAAGTGGAACTTTCATTAATGTGTTTAGTAAATTAAGTATTGATAGACAAAAGTGTGATAGAGATGGGTTGGTCAAGCCATTCTTTCAGCTTGTACGTCTCATTTTTATTCGTTAGGGCTGCCAACGTACAAATTACAACGTACTTTAAAAAGCACATGCTCACAAAAATCTACGTTTCTATTCATTGGAAGGTTTCATTGGGTATGTTGCTCCTTGGAATCTCATTAGGTATGTTGCACCTTGTATTTTAATCGTTGTGGGAAATCGTGAGTTGTGGGTTGTGGGAGAGCCCAGTCAATTGTTCAGTGGAACATATAAAATATTAATTTATGGAAAATTTATCGCGAAAAGTTATAAAATCGACAATGGCTTCTTAAAATGAAATATAAATGAATTAAGCCAGTCAAAATAGTGTTTGTTAAGGATGCACATTTACTGCCCGGATATAGGTATACAAATGGTTTTATGTGGTACTTTCTAAGGCATAATGTACGATGAATTTCGTTCAAGGAATTGAATACTAAAATATTGCATATATGTTTATTTGTTAAATTATATTTACACGATCAATCCTCTCAGTTCTATATGTTATAGCCAGAACGTCTTCATGTGGGTGTTGTCCTAGCCATAGTAGGGCTTGGGTGTAGTGTGCTGGACCTGGCCCTCGTAGGTCACCTGGGCCACGTAGCCGGAGTCGCCGTTGACAGTGTAGGTCACCTTCTCCAGACGACCGTCGGGAAGCAGCACATAGTAGGAGCCCTGGGTGTTGGGACCATCACGGGTCTCGTCTTGGCCGAAGTCGTTGCCGGAAGCGTCGTCCTTCACTTTCCAACTGAAGGAGTACCGAGCTGGAGCCTGCAATAATAACAGTAACATCAGAATACAATACGTGTCTCACCAGAGCAGTCTCAGCCAGACTCATGCGTCACATATGATAAAGTTATGATAGTATTGGTCACTTGCTTGTTTAGACCATTGTCACAGAGACATGTGGGCAGCCTTGCCCACTGTGGGTTATACTCACCTCCGTCGAAGGGACGCCGTATATAGGTCGTGGATAGTGAGGAGGAGGAGGTTCTGAACGGGCCAAGGCGACCATGACAAGAGCCGCGATCAACACAACCTGAAAACAGTTTGTAAATTTAATCTAAACATTTATTCTATGCAAAGTTTCTAAACCTTAAATATATTTTTTTTATATTCATATTTATATTTGATATGTTATAAATTGGTGTATTATTATTAATGCAAGAATTTTACTTGACTTGATATTTAACTAATACAGTTCAGTGGGCAAATGCCTATGTGTTTATTTTTTTCATATAAATGTGAGATCATTTTAGCAACTGTTATGTAATTTCTACGAAGTCATGATTCAAACACCCACTGAATTTTTACTCCTATTTATTCACAGTAATTGATAAATGCAGAACACATGACAAGTAACCTATGTATTGTAATGGTTATTTTATTCCTATCTTAGACCATCACGAGTGTGAATAACAAAATATTTACTGAAACAACAAAATTACGTTTCACTATATGTTGTTATATTTATAAATAGACTCTTCATTATTAATTTACTCACTTTTAAATAGTCATGAATAATATAAAATATCTCTTAAAATAAAAATGCTTTAAGAGAGGTTAGCACTGTACCTTGAGAGACATTCTTGGTGAGGATGACTTACTGGACTGATGCTCTGTGAGGGATGCCACCTGTTTATATACTGGAGGATGACACCCCGCGGGCCGTGACGTCACGACCTTCCAAGTGAAGAGGTGTCTCGGTCAAGGACATTGACTATTGTTATATATAATATGGAAAACGTAATCATGTAACAGTTATTTGCGAGGAAATTCACACTATTCCTTAATGATATATTTAAAACAAATCACTTCAATTATTTCCCAAGATTCAAATAAATATTTCAAGGCACAACACTCTACATTTTATAGTACAGTGCCTAATACTGAACTTTCTAATTTAAAAATCTTTATAGTACCTGAACAGAACAATATCAAGTAGAAGAATGACACCTGATGTCTTACAACTAACATTTCTAGTAAGGAATAACAGTTCTGTATTTACCTTATTAGGAATATTCACACATAATTTTTATATTAAGATTTCAAATGAACATAACGACTCTTCTCAGGATGTATTATTAAATACGAAAGTACTTAAGGAAATTCCTGTTTCAATTCTTCCTTCGTGGTCTGACACTCACATTTTTCATCACGTGTTAATTTTTGTGATTTACACACATAACACCCAAATCTGTTTCACATTCAGATTTCACAATGTCAGAATCGTCAAGCTGATATTTGTTGTCTCTATTACAATTTCCCGGGCTTAAAACTCTGAATTTGTCAGTATTAAACTGCAGCTGTAAATCAAATTTAAAAGTCCAATTTGCCCTTACTTTGATTTTTAAAATTTTGTTGATATATTCTCCTAAACTACTTGTGAATCATTGTTTAATTTGTTAATTGTTTTCTTCTACCATAAGTTTATTGTAAAATATGAATGGTAAACAGAAGTTCTAGCACATAGCTCAGATGAACTCCTCTTTCAACGGTTTCCCAACAGATTTGACTAAATTAATGAATACAAGCAATTCACTTTGTAATAAGTATATCCTTTTGCAACTTAAATTAACACCGTTTCCCATAAATACATTTACTTTACCTCAATTACCTTGATTTCAATATAATGCTTTTGTTTGATTCTGAATTTCTGTTTTATTTAGATTTCGTTTTTTTTTTAATTTTGTCTTCTTTTACTTTCCACGTTTGCCTATAAACGTTGTCTATTAGACCAATTGTTGTTTATTTTAATATAAACATCATCTCAGCCTCAATACATTTACGTCAGGCCAGTTCGAGTATTTCTTTGACTCTGTAACAACTGCTGCATAGCTACGAATGCATATTTTTCAAGTAGTCATATATTCTCATGCTATTCTGTCTTGTCAAGTGCAGTTTCCTCTCCCTGATACTATATTTTTCTGTTTTTTCCTTTCAATTTCCTAATATAATTGAATGCGAGGACATAATGGGCACTTGATAGAGTCTGGAGTCTCGATGTTCTCTTCATATTAAGCTGAAGACTGGTCCTAGATCAAGTCCCATTTCCTTGTCATCATCCTTTACATGTTGACTTTGTAAATGCGTTTCCTTAACTTCTGATAATTTTGTGTCACGTGTTTATATTCATTCATTGTAATATATTGACTTATACAAGACATATTCAGTAATTTCACTTTCACTTTATGGAATCTTATTTTCTATTCCATATTACAGCGTCCATTGGGTTATAGTCTGTCAGTGTATGTGTGAGATTGTGTGTGTGTGTGAAAGAGAGAGTGTGTGTGAGTATGTGTTTGTGTGTATATTTATTCACTTGTGTGTGTAAGAAACAGTAGAAATTAAAAGCTAAAAAATAAAATTTTGAATTAAATTTAAAGTGGAACTTTCATTAATGCTCTTAGTAAATTAAGTATTAATAAACAAAAGTGTGATAGAGATGGGTTGGGCAAGCCATTCTCTCAGCTTGTACGTCCCGTTTTTATACGTTAGGGCTTCAAACGTACAAATTACAAAGTACTTTAAAAAACAGATGCTCACAAAAATCCACGTTTCTATTCATTGGAAGGTTTCATTGGGTATGTTGCACTTTGTATTTTTTCGTTGTGGGAAATCGTGAGAACAGTGTTGTGTTAGAGCCCAGTCAAGTGTTCAGTGGAAGATATAAATTTTAACTTATGGGGAATTTATCGCGAAAAGTTATAAAATTGACAATGGCTTCCTAAAATGAAATATAAATGAATTGATCCAGTCAAAATAGTGTTTGTTAAGGATGCACATTTACTGCCCGGATACAGGTATACGAATGGTTTATATGATACTTTTGAAGGCATAATGTGCGATGAATTTCATGCAGGGAATTGAATACAAAAATATTGCATAGAAGTTTATTTGTTAAATTATATTTACACAATTATTACTCTCCGTTCTATATATTATGATCTGAACGTCCTGATGTGGGTGTTGACCTAGCCATAGTAGGGCTGGGGTGTGGTGTGCTGGACCTGGCCCTCGTAGGTCACCTGGGCCACGTAGCCGGAGTCGCCATTGACAGTGTAGGTCACCTTCTCCAGACGACCGTCGGGAAGCAGCACATAGTAGGAGCCCTGGGTGTTGGGACCATCACGGGTCTCGTCTTGGCCGAAGTCGTTGCCGGAAGCGTCGTCCTTCACTTTCCAGCTGAAGGAGTACCGAGCAGGAGCCTGTAATAATAACAATAACATCAGTATACAATACGTGTCTCACCAGAGCAGTCTCTCTCAGCCAGACTCATGTGTCACATATGATAAAGTTATGATAGTATTGGTCACTTGCTTGTTTAGACCAATAATGTAGAGTTTGATACACAGGGGTTCAGTAGCTTCACATTCCAGTAAGTTGTGCAATAGTGGCGCCTCTGCTTCTGTTCCACAGATATGACACTCTTTAACCATTGGGTATATTATTCCCCAGTAGCACTTGTAAGCAAGTCTGAGTCTGTGTATGGCTACTGCAATGTCTCTGGATATCTTTTTGTCAAGCTTGAAAGAGTAGTACCCAGTGGCTTGTTCGTACCATATCGCAGTGGATCTTCCTTCCGCGTCTTTAGCTCTGTGGCGACTTTTGATAGTTGGGAGTATTTTCTTTTTGATTAACTTAATCTGTAAAAAACTTGGAGTTGTTGTGACAATAGCCACAGAGATATATATAGAGTATACCCACAGTGGGTTATACTCACCTCAGTAGTGGGGACGCCGTAGGTAGGTGGAGGATAGTAAGGGTGAGGAGGAGGTTCGGAGCGGCCCAAGGCGACCACCACAAGAGCCGCGAACAATGCAACCTGTCAGCAGTTTGTAAAGAAAATTTACACATATTGCAAAGGGAATATATCTCATATTATATGCTGTAAATGTAAATATTTTATATGTATTATGAATGTTTATATTACTATTAATGAACATGTTTTACTAGATACAATATCCCCGTTTAGTTAATGAGATCAGATCGTGAGATCATTTTATCAACAGGATGAACCTTGCAAGCAATTTCTGTGATGAGATGTTTCATAAATGGATTTTGTTTGCCCTTAATAGTTGGCAAATATGTAACAAAGACGAGCTAACTCACAAATCTTAAAAAATAGTCTTTTGCTTCTTTAATTATCTTGAATGAGTATAATAATACACTACTTAAAGCTAAACTAGTGTTTATCTAAATATACAGCACGTTAATAATACAAAAGTATTATTAACATGCCGTTTCTTTTTAACACGTTACCAGAGAGGTTGGCACTGTACCTTGAGAGACATTCTTGGTGAGGATGAGTTACCTGACTGATGCTCTGTGGGAGTTTGTTGTTGTTTATATACTGAAGGATGACACCCCGCGGGCGGTGACGCCACGACCTTCCTTGGAAAGAGGTGTCTGGGCCGAGATTATTTTACGGATTATATATATATATTTATTGTGTGTGTGTACTCACCTATTTGTGCCTGCATGGTGGAGCATTGACTCTTGGATCCCACCTTTCTAGCCATCGGTTGTTTACAGCAATGATTCCGGTCCCATTTCCCTATCATATCTAGTTTTAAAATTATGAAGAGAGTTTGCTTCCACCACCTGTTCCTTAAGTGCATTCCATTTTTCCACTACTCTCACACTAAAAGAAAAGTTCCTTACATCTCTGTGACTAATCTGAGTTTCCAGCTTCCACCCATGTCCTCTTGTTTTGTTAGTATTCCGTGTGAACATTTCGTCTATTTCCCCTCTGTCAATTCCCCTGAGTATTTTATACGTTCCTATCATATCCCCCCTCTCCCTTCTTTTTTTTTTAGTGTCGTAACCTGTGTGTGTGTGTGTGTGTGTGCGTGTGTTCACCTAGTTGTGCTAGCAAGGGTTGAGCTTCTGCTCTTTTGTCCCGCCTTTCAACTGTCAATCAACTGGAGTACAAGTTCCTGAAGAACTTATTGGACTCTATCATATCCACATTTCAAACTGTGTATGGAGTCAGCCTTCACCACATCACTGCCTAATACATTTCATTTATTAACTACTCTGACACTGAAAATGTTATTTCTAATGACTGTGTTGCTCATTTGGATACTTAATTTCCACCTGTGTCCCTCTGTGCGAGTTCCACCGGTGTTAAATAATCTACCCTAATCTACCCCCTCAATTCCCCTGAGTATTTTGTATGTGGTGATCGTGTCTCCGAACTTATCTCTCTTCCTGCGACGTGAGGTGCAATTCACACAGCCTTTCCACGTAACTCATGCATCTGAGTTCAAGACCTAGTTTAGTGGCATACCTCTGAACTTTCTCCAGCTTCGTCTTATACTTGACAAGTTATGGACTCCATGCTAGAGCTGCATACTCCAGGATTGGACTTACATATGTGGTATACAATTTTCTAAATGATTCCTCACACAAATTTCTAAAGGCAGTTATGATTTTAGCCAGCCTTACATACACTGCTGATGATATTCTTTTATTGTGGGCTTCAAGAGACAGGTTCGGTGTGATATCAACTCCTAGATCTTTCTCTCTGTCTGTTTCGTGGAGGACTTTGTCTCCCATTCGTTACCCTGTGTCTGGACTCCTCCTGATTCATTACCATATATTTACTTGGGCTGAACCTTTAGCTCAAATGGGTAGCCATTTTTTTAACCATTCCGTCGGTTTGTCTAGGTCATCTTAGCTTGTAGCCTCTTGCTATCTGCCTCCGTCTTAATACTCTTTATAATTTTTACATCATCGTCAAATATTGAGAGGAACTATTCTATTCCTTCTGAGAGATCATGTGCAGTTATCAGAAACAGGATAGCTCGAAGGAATGAACGCTGTGGGACTCCACTGGTGACGCCTTGCTACTCTGAGACCTCACCACTCACAGTGACTCGCTGTCTTATGGTCCTTATGTACTTTCTTATCCAGTGGAGTACCTTCACTTTCACTCCTGCCTGCATTTCCAGCTTGTGCACTAGTCTCCTTTGGGGTACGGTGTCAAAGGCTTTCTGACAATCCTAAAATATACAGTCTGCCCACCATCCTCTTTCTTGCATGAATTTTGTCTCCTGGTCAAAGAATTCAATTAATCATGTGAGGCAAGATTTGCCATCCCTAAACCCATTCTTGTGATGTGTTTCAAAGTTCTTTTGCTCCAGATGTGAGTGTATTTGTGTGTATGTGTGTGTGTGTGTGTGTGTGTGTGTGTGTGTGTGTGTGTGTGTGTGTGTGTGTGTGTGTGTGTGTGTGTGTGTGTGTGTGTGTGTGTGTGTGTGTGTGTGTGTGTACTCACCTAGTACACATTCCTACCCCTGTGTGTGTGAAGGGGGGGGGGCACAAATATAAGTATTTAGACTTAAATAAGAAAAGAAACATATAACATGTATCATGGAGATAGATATAACAAAAATGATCGCAGGTCAACAATTAACCGTAAATGGAATCAAACATGTAGTTCACTCAACCACTGGTGGAAGGTAAATACGAGCGCATCATATGGCAACACTGCAACCACACAGGCATTACAGAGGTACCACAACACTCTTATTTGCTCTTACACAGCCTAAAGACTCTTACATATATGGCCTTAAGACTCTTACACACACATGGCCCGAAGACTCCTACACACACATGGCCCGAAGTCTCCTACACACACACATGATCTGAAGAGTAGCCAAATGAAACACACATACTAGAAAAACAAAAATTAACGTCAGAGAACTTAACAAATGGGATAATGCGCTAGGAAGTGATGCACAATCTCAAACTTCAATACGAAAGCCTCCTAATAAGTTCAGGGACCTGTACACCAGTTGTTTGACAGCTGAGAGGTGGGTCTAATGACCCAAAGTTTAACCCACGCAAGCACAATTAGATGCTAATTGCGCCGAAGAGCATAGGTCCTCAAGCCCTGGGGAGTACGAGGGTCGTAGTGGTGAGTGCTGGACCTGCCACTGGTGCAGGTCGTAGTGGAGAGTGCTGGACACGCCACTGGTGCAGGTCGTAGTGGAGAGTGCTGGACCTGCCACTGGTGCAGGTCGTAGTGGTGAGTGCTGGACCTGCCACTGGTGCAGGTCGTAGTGGAGAGTGCTGGACCTGCCACTGGTGCAGGTCGTAGTGGTGAGTGCTGGACCTGCCACTGGTGCAGGTCGTAGTGGAGAGTGCTGGACCTGCCACTGGTGCAGGTCGTAGTGGTGAGTGCTGGACCTGCCACTGGTGCAGGTCGTAGTGGTAAGTGCTGGACCTGCCACTGGTGCAGGTCGTAGTGGTGAGTGCTGGACCTGCCACTGGTGCAGGTCGTAGTGGTGAGTGCTGGACACGCCACTGGTGCAGGTCGTAGTGGTAAGTGCTGGACCTGCCACTGGTGCAGGTCGTAGTGGAGAGTGCTGGACCTGCCACTGGTGCAGGTCGTAGTGGTAGCAACAAACATATAATAACAATAAGTCATTGTGTCGCGGGACAGGAAGACAGCCGGGACCAAAGAGCCAAAGCTCAACCCCCGTAACCCCAACTAGGTGAGTACAGAGTGTATTCATTCACGCTAGACTTATATCGAAGATCCCCCCCCCCCCCCTCTTCCCCAAAGTCGAATTTCTGACCCCGCCTAGGATGCAGCCCCTCAACAAGCTGACTTACTCCTGAGTGATACTGATAAGTGAACAGTTGCATTAGGTGAAAGGAAATGCGCCCAACTATTTCTGCCCCGCCCGGGATTTGAACCCGGAATTCTCGATTGTACGTCGAGAACGAACCCACCAGTACTACCGGAACCCTTTAACAAGCCATTTCGAGCAATCTACAAACCTGTACCTATCTCCTCCGAAGTAGCTTAGATAATATAAATTTTACCTTCAATAAAGGTCAAAGTCTTGGTGTGACCCTTGACCCATTCCTACCCTGTTCTACGAACCTTTGACCCATTCCTACCCTGTTCTACGAACCCTTGACCCATTCCTACCCTGTTCTACGAACCCTTGACCCATTCCTACCCTGTTCTACGAACCCTTGATCCATTCCTACCCTGTTCTACGAACCCTTGACCCATTCCTACCCTGTTCTACGAACCCTTGACCCATTCCTACCCTGTTCTACGAACCCTTGACCTATTCCTACCCTGTTCTACGAACCCTTGACCCATTCCTACCCTGTTCTACGCACTTCAGTTATACTCCTGAGAATAAATCTCAAAGTCCAGATCTTCAAACTTCTAAATAAAAATCAACCTAACAAAACGCAAATAAAATAGCTGACACATATTCTCTAAGTAACAGTGAAAATAAAAATTATGGTCACATAGCTGGTAAACCGCCGTGGGGTCCGGCGAGGCGAGTGTCCGTGTGAGTTTGTGGCTTGTGTTGTGGAGAAAACCTCTCGACCGGATCCGGTGTTGTGACGCCCCTCAGTTTCCTCACCCCAGCCGGGGCCCTGTTATATACGAACCCTTCGACCCCCACTTCGTCAACTCGACACTCCTTCTCCACCCCTTCGCCCCTTCTTCAACTCGACACCCTTCTCCACCCCGTAGCTACCCCCTCAATTCGACACCCCCTCTCCACCCCGTAGCCACCTCCCCAACTCGTAACACTCATTTCCCCAACTCATCACCGCCACCTCCCCAAAGTCATTAATAAAATAAACAAAACTAGCTGATAAGTTTGCACAGGTTAGGTTAGGTTTTTTATTTTACATTTCCGATTAAACAGAATGTAATTTGCTCTAAAACGTGAACTTTGGGGGGCCCAACAGTATATGCTGATGCGTCTGACCAAATGGTTATTATGAGAACTGTCATCTTTAGGAGCAACGGCTGTTAATACCAGATATGATGAAAAACAAAAGGGTTGGGAGTCATTGTATTAGACAACAGACGATTGGAAGGGCGGGGCCCAGATAATCAATAATGATAAGAGAAAAAGTATACATCAGCAAATAAAATGATAAATAAAATTTGCATTATTTATTAGTTTATTACAAGAAAAAACATACAAGTAATTATATGAATGAATTAGAAGACTATAACGTCACTCATTTCAAGAAGGCGACACCAAACTTAACCTTTCGTAGGCTTAATATAGCACAAATATTTTATAAATGAGGTTCATGACTATTTAAATTAAGGATAGAACTATTTATTTAGGCATAAGCTAGGTTATTGTGTAGGCCCATTAGCATAATAAAAGTACAATAATTGACTTTCTTTGAGTACAAAACTATATTTTGTCATTTAATTTAGAGTAGCTATAGACACTATAATTTCTGGAGAATTGGCTAACATTTCAGATCAAAATGGGTCCTAAGACACCTAATTCAACCCACGAGA